GCTGTGCTAATCTCATCCACTTGCAAGGATTCCTGTAGGAATGGGTATGGGGCCTGATGCTGGTTTCGGTGTTAAGAGTGAAGTTCTTTCTGGGGAAAGCAAAAAGGATGTAAGTTAAAGGTAGTGACCTGTCCTAGACCTTCAAACATCTGGAATTATACATATAATTGATGCTACCATTGTCAGACCCCAAGAATGGGAGTGAGGTGCTATTTAATAATGAGTGACTCTGAAGGTAGCAGAGCCAAGAAGGAGAAGAAACCTGACTCTTGATCAATTGTTGAACTGATGAAGCCCCTCCCCACCCCAGGTGCCTACCCAACCTCTGAATCTAATTATGAGATCACTTATGTCCTATTTTTAAATATGGCTTGAATTAGAGTCCCTTTTACTTGCAGGTAAATCATCTAATTTCCATAATGTGATTAAACTTTATTTTAGTCTATGCTTTCAGCTATAACTTCAGCAATAATAGGAGTTTATTATAGTAAAAAGAGCTTTATACCCATAATCATAATATTCAACTTCTAGTCCTGACCTTGCCACGACTTCTCTTTGTGACACTATGCCAATCATTTGAAAAGTCAGGGACTGCAACTTTAGAAACTGTATTGTACCAAATAATAAAGCTTCCAAGTATAGCATCCTCTCATTTATACATTTTATAAATTGCCAGTAAGAAGTTATTCAGACTAGCTTGGACTGGTATTAGTTTGCAATCTTGCTTCACTGTATAACTAGAGGCCCAGTACACAAAATTTGTGCACTTCTAGGGTCCCTAGCGGCTTCCAGCTGCTGGCCAGGTACTCTCTCCCTTCCTCTGGCTGGCCCTGCCCCCTTGTCAAAATCCCGGAAGACCTCCTGGTTGAGGGGACAATTTGCATACTATGCTTTTATTATATAGGATAAGAATTAAAAAAATAAGAATTAAAAAATGGTAGAACTCATAGAAACAGAGTATAGATCGGCAGTTACCAGCAGCTGGGGTTTGGGGGGAATAGATCAAAAGGTACAGGTCTTCAGTTATAAGATGAATAAGTTCCGGGAATCTAATGTATCGTATAGTAACTATACTTAATAATAATCTATTGTATACTTGAAATTTGCTAAGAGAGTAGATGTTAAGTGTTCTCATGAAACACACAAAAATAATTATGTGAGATGATTGGTATATTAATTAATCTTATTAATTATTAATTATTTAATTAAATCATTTAATAACATATATATGTATATATATATGTGTGTGTGTATATTCATATATATATATATATATGAAATCATCACTCTGAACACTTTGTCAATTATACCTCCATAAAGCTGGGGTAGAAAGAATAAAGAAACAAATCAGAAAGCAACAGGATTGAAAATGAAATAAAATCCTCTAAATAGTGTTTACCAACTAGACTGTTATATTTTGATTAAATTGATTATTGAAATTACATAATTCTAACCATAATTCATATATCAATTAGAAGACAAAATGTTATTATTGATTTGATAATATTCTTTCAAGAGGAGATGTGATGGGAACAATAGATTGTTTAAAATTTTTTAAATGTTCAAACGATTTGATAGCTTTTAGATACTGTATCTGAGGCTCCAACATGACCTTGAGATTTGATGATTGACGAGGAGTCAGAATACTCATGGTTAGGGTTTATTACATTGAAGAGTTATAGATTAAAGGTAGCAAAAGGAAAGACTTACATGGTAAAGCCATGGAGAAAGCAGGCACAGGCTTCAGGTGCCTTCTCCTAGAGGACATGTGTGTGTGAAGCACTTTATTCTCTCAGACATGATGTGTGACAAGCCCACCGAGGTGTTGCCAATCAGGAAACTCACTTAAGCCTTGATGCCCAGGGTGTTTATCCGGGTCATTCACAAGGCACAGATTTTAGCTAATCCGGCTTCAGCTCCTGCAGCGTTCCAATGGATACAGCATAGTCCAAAGCCCAGGTTTAAAAGCAAGTTTTCCTTGTAAATCACATCATTAGCATAAGCTATTTGGCACAGCCCAGCTTGTCAGGGATCAAGCACACTGTTACAGGCAGCACGATCCAAGGCTCAGAGGCTATCTTCCAAAAAGCCAGTCAGAGCCCACCATTCCTTTGGAATATGTAGGGTTTGAGCACTCAAGCCGTTCTAAGTTAACCGTTGCATCAATGTCATGATAAATATTGCATTTTTTATAGAAATACTAGTGAATGGTACATAATTGGACAAATAAGACACTCCATAATAATAAATTGAAACACAAAATCATTTCGAAGACACTAAGCCAGGCAGGAAGAAATAAAAAATGATAATTTTGAAATAAAGCAAGGCCCAATTTGAGTTTCACATTTACTTTCATCAACTCATTGGTAAAATATTAACCATGAAAGGCTGAAGGCTTTGAAGGGGAAGAGAAAAGAAAGGCATGGAGTGTGATGTTTCTGAAAAAAAAAATACTTAGTAATTGTGATAAACAGAAAAATGATTTTGCTCAATCTATAAGGCACCCTCATTTGGCTACAGGAGTTAGCAGTCTGCTTTTTGTATGGGTCCTAATCTCGAAACCAATCCAGGTCATATCACAGACGTGAGGATTGCTTCTTCTTTGAACTTGGTGCAGTGTAGCTTTAAATAAACATTTTCACTTTTGCAGAATTTTCTTACGAGTATATGTGGCACCATGAATGTGAGCTTAAATAAAACATCGGAAGACTTTGAAACCAGGATAAGTATTTTGTAACAGTGAGCCAGTTTTCTTCTTTTCCTTTTTTTATGGTTCAGTAAGCCTCAGAAAACAATGGGATAAAACCAGAAAAAATTTAGTGCTTAGCATATAATGAGATGCAATGTTAAGAATGGGTAGAATAAGATTTATTCCTCCATGTAACTACTTAGGCATATTTGAGAATAACTGTTTCTTTGTGATTATTTAAATATGTATGATCAAATTATTCTAGTATTTTCCCTTTCATTTTACTTTCATTTTCCTCTGTATCTTACATGAATAATGAATGCTTAATTTTGATAACAGCAGGAGAAACTAAAAGAGTGCCCTAGAACTAACATGTGGAAAGAACAAAGTTTTTATTCACATACAACTATGTTAAAATGTATACATTGTATATATACTAATATACTAGAGATATAAATTTTCTCCTAACACTCAGGAGCAATAGCAGAACTGAATTGATAAGTTTTATAGTGAAAAACACACACACACACACACACACACACAATAAAACTTCATTTACCTTCACCTTCACCACCAGATGGCTGAAAAATCCAAGTCAGTCTTTAGAGAGTTGCCTGTTGCCTCCCTTTGGGGTTGTAGAGTAAAAGCTGGGGGTGGCTGGAGCCAGGATTATGAGGCAACAGCCTTTGCTCCGTAGTTCATCTTGGCTGCTACAAAAATGCCTGTTGTGTCATTCCCCTGCTCCTTTCAGAGACAGGTTAATCTGCCAAGTGATTCCAACCCTTTTCATACCAAAATTGGCTCCCAGGATCTTCTCTACATCCCTCTGGTTCCCAGTGCTTAGCTAATTAGTGGCCAGGTCCCCATTGTCCCTTCTGCATGGGTAATTAGAAACCTGAGGTTCTGCTCTCCCTCTCTGATTACTAACCTTTCATCAGTGAGGATTCAGTCCAACTGTTCTGTGTCTGAATACAAAAGCCTTCATTTGTTCCTGCTCTCACCCTCTTCATGAAGATTTGCTTAATCTCATTTGCTGGAAATTAACACGGAGACTGACTCAGTGTCAGAATTTGGGAGCTTTGGAATTCTCAAAACACACAGAATTGTCCAAATACTCTTTGATGAAAAAATAAAATTTCATTTTGGTAGCAAAAGAAGATGGTAATGAATTTTATTCTCAATAATTTCTCAGCTACATAGGAACATGACAACATGTGTCAAGCCTCAAATGTCTTAGCACTTATAAAATGTTTACTATGGCTATGTTGTATACAAAGATTGCTTTTATATCATAGGCCCTATAGAATACCATCTGAAATAGTGAACCTCAAAGAATTGAAAGACTGCTGGAACCTCCCTTCCCCTTCTTAACTAGCTTTTCCAGTAAATGATCTGTTTTAGCTAACCTTTCCCATAAGTTCTGATACCCTGGTCTGTTTCCAGTAAATGATCTGTTTTAGCTGACCTTTCCCATAAGTTCTGGTGCCCTGGTCTGGTCGTAACATAGCTATTTTATCTCCCCTAGAATCAGGTTGAGTAAAGACAGACCACTCTACCCCTAGGAGATGAGTCAACTGCTAACACAAACCAGACCTGTCCATTAACTGTTAACCTAGTTTCCTGACATTCCAAGCCGCCTGCGTGTGGCTATTGCCCTGACATTCCTGACCACCTGCGTGTGGTTTTTGCCTTTATAAACCTATGCTCTGCAACTGCTCGGGGCTCCCAGTCAGCCAGCACTTCCTTCGGGTTGCTGCGTGTCTGCCTGAGAGTCCCTGCGCTGCGCTTGTAATAAATCCTCTTGCTTTTGCATCAAGTCTTGGTCTCGGCGTTTGACTTGGGGTCGTCGCCCTCTCCGTCAGGCACATCGGGGGTCTTGGGACCTCACATTTGGGGGCTCGTCCGGGATTAGGGCGGCCACCCCTCAAGCGCTTGGATCAGTCTTGGAGGTAAGCAGACTCCGGAGTCGTTCAGTGTTTGTCTTGTCCTCTGTTCGTTCTTAGTTTCGGTTTTTCGGAACGGCAGGTTGTCGGCTCCGTGAGGAGTCGGCTCCTCTGGTTGGAGGGTCTTCGACCAGAAAAACTGCCACCCTGGGGGACGCCCCAGGGACAAGCGGTGACCGAGAAGTCTTGGTCACTTCTGGCTGTCCGGCGACGGGCACTTGCGTGTCCGGCCGGGCTAGCGTCAGGGAGGGATATCGACCCTCAGCAGGCATTTTGTATCCGTTCAGGTTTGTGTGGTTTCGGTGTCTCGTTGCGTCGCTTTTCGTTCTTGTTGTTTGTTTTCTGTTTCTTCTCTCTGATTTAGGTAACATGGGCCAAGGAGGCAGCACTCCCCTTTCTCTCACAGTGGCCCATTGGAAAGACGTCCGGAGTCGGGGACTCAACCTCTCCGTCAGTGTCAAAAAGGGACCTTGGCAGACTTTCTGCTCATCTGACTGGCCGGCCCTGGGTGTAGGATGGCCAGCGGATGGGACTTTTAACCTATCCCTTATTTTTGCAGTGAAGAATAAGGTGTTTCAGTCAGGACCGGCGGGCCACCCGGACCAGCAGCCATATATCGTTGTCTGGCAGGACCTGGTTCAAAACCCTCCCCCTTGGTTAAAACCTTGGCTGACGTCCAGTACCTCTCGGGTTCTCGTGGCCCAGACCCCTCCCGCAGGCCAAGCAAAACCCCCTTTGGTTGACCCTCAAGCCGATCTTCTCCTCTTGGACTCTCCGCCCCCCTATCCCTCTCCTCTCCAGCCAGAGCCACCGGAGAGACCAGAGCCTGTAGCACCCCCCGCTCCTCCCGCGGAGGGACCGGCCCAGGGTACCCGGAGGCAGAGAAGGCAGCCAGTGTCTCCTGACTCGACTGTGGCCTGCCCTCTTCGACCCTACGGGCCTCCGCCCACCCGTGGGGATGATGACGAGTCGGCTCCGCTTCAGCCGCTCCAATACTGGCCCTTCTCCTCGGCAGATCTCTATAACTGGAAAACTAACCATCCTCCCTTTTCAGAGGATCCACAACGCTTGACGGGGCTAGTTGAGTCCCTGATGTTCTCTCATCAGCCCACCTGGGACGACTGCCAACAGCTCCTCCAGACTCTCTTTACTACGGAGGAAAGGGAGCGGATTCTTTTGGAGGCCCGAAAGAACGCTCCTGGCCCCGATGGTCGGCCAACCCAGCTCTCCCATTTGGTGGATGCAGCCTTTCCATTGGCCAGACCGGACTGGGATTTCAACACGGCAGAAGGTAGGGAGCACCTGAAGGTCTACCGCCAGACTCTAGTGGCCGGCCTCAGAGGGGCAGCAAGGCGCCCCACAAATCTGGCTAAGGTAAGAGAGGTCATCCAGGGGCCCACTGAACCGCCCTCTGTATTTCTTGAACGGTTAATGGAGGCATTCAGGCGGTACACCCCATTTGACCCCGCTTCGGAGGGACAGAAAGCTTCGGTAGCCATGGCTTTCATAGGACAGTCAGCATTAGACATTAAGAGGAAGCTGCAGAGATTAGAAGGGCTGCAGGACTTTACTCTTCAGGATTTAGTTAAGGAAGCGGAGAAAGTGTACCACAAAAGAGAGACGGAGGAGGAGAAGGAGTTGCGAAAAGAGAAGGAAAGGGAGGAAAGAGAAGAAAAGAGAGAGAGAAGGGAAGAGAAAAGGCTAACCCGTATCTTGGCCGCAGTGATAGGAGAAAGTAAACCGCAGGAGAAGGGAAAGGAAAGACAGGCAGGAAACTTGGGCAACAGGCCACCGTTAGGCAAAAACCAATGTGCCTACTGCAAGGAAGAAGGGCATTGGAAGCGGGAATGCCCGAAGAGACTAGCGAAAAAGGCGCTGGCTCTTCAGGAAGATAGTGATTGAAGAAGTCGAGGCTCGGTTCCCCTCCCCGAGCCTAGGGTAACTCTCAAGGTGGAGGGGAAGCCTGTTAATTTCCTGGTGGACACCGGAGCCCAGTATTCCGTTCTTAAGAAACCACTAGGGCCGGTCTCCCAGAAAACCTCCTGGGTGATAGGGGCAACAGGAAATGAACAATACTCCTGGACCACTAATCGGACGGTAGATTTAGGCACGGGAAGAGTGACTCATTCCTTCCTCATAATACCAGAGTGCCCAGCCCCCCTTCTGGGGAGAGATTTATTAACTAAAATGGGGGCCCAGATCACCTTCACCCCACGAGGGCCGACCCTGACCCAACATGGGGAACCAATTACCCTCTTGACACTTCAGCTCGAAGATGAACATCGGCTGTTTGAAAATAATGTCCGAGGGGATGAGAGGATAGCAGAATGGTTACAGCAATACCCTAAGGCTTGGGCCGAAACTGCGGGAATGGGCTTAGCAACCGAACGGCCCCCCGTGATAGTAGAGCTTAAGTCTACAGCAACCCCGATTGCGGTACGGCAGTATCCCATGGCAAAAGAAGCCTGGAGGGGAATTAAGATCCATATCCAGCGCCTCTTACACCTAGGGGTTTTGGTTAAATGCCATTCCCCGTGGAATACCCCTCTCCTCCCGGTAAAGAAACCTGGAACTAATGACTACCGACCGGTGCAGGACTTAAGGGAAGTCAACAAGAGGGTGCAGGACATTCATCCCACGGTCCCCAATCCTTATAATCTCCTGAGTTCTATCCCTCCGTCTCATGTATGGTATTCAGTCCTAGACTTAAAGGATGCCTTCTTCTGCCTGCGGCTGCACCCTGCCAGCCAAAACATCTTTGCTTTCGAATGGAGAGACCCAGACTCGGGGATGACAGGGCAGCTGACTTGGACCCGGCTTCCCCAAGGGTTCAAGAATTCTCCCACCATCTTCGATGAGGCCCTTCATCAAGATCTGGCTGCTTTCCGCGCTGACCACCCGCAGGTCACTCTTCTCCAGTACGTAGACGACCTTCTCCTCGCAGGAGCTACAAAAGAGGACTGTGAAGCAGGTACCAGAGCGTTGCTCTTAGAACTCTCGCGCCTAGGGTACAGGGCCTCGGCTAAAAAGGCACAGATATGTCAGCGGAGAGTAACCTATTTAGGATATGCTCTGGAGGGAGGGAAGAGATGGCTCACTGAAGCCCGAAAGAGCACGGTCACCCAAATTCCCAGGCCACAGACCCCCCGACAGGTACGCGAGTTCCTGGGGACAGCTGGATTTTGCCGTCTCTGGATTCCGGGCTTTGCAACCCTGGCGGAACCCCTTTACCCGCTGACGAAACAAGGGAACCCCTTCGAATGGGGGGAAACTCACCAGAAGGCCTTTGACAACATCAAAAGGGCTCTTCTCTCTGCTCCGGCATTGGCCTTACCAGACGTGGCCAAACCCTTTACTCTATTCATAGATGAGAGAAAAGGGGTGGCCAGGGGGGTCCTAACTCAAACCTTGGGCCCCTGGAAGAGGCCTGTGGCCTATCTATCCAAGAGACTAGACCCGGTGGCTAGAGGGTGGCCAGGCTGTCTGAGGGCAATCGCAGCCACCGCCCTGCTCGTACGGGATGCGGATAAGCTTACCTTAGGACAGAAACTGACTGTAGTAGCCCCGCATACCCTCGAGAGCATTATCCGGCAGCCGCCAGACCGGTGGATGTCCAATGCCCGGATGACTCACTACCAGAGCCTCCTGTTAAACGAAGATCGAGTCCATTTTGGGGCCCCAGTAGTCCTCAACCCGGCAACATTATTGCCGGAGGTAGATCCCGAGGGTAAAGAAGTTCTACACTCGTGTCGTGACATCCTGGCAGAAGAAACGGGGCCAAGGAAAGATCTTAAGGATTCTCCCCTGGCAGGACCTCAACTCACCTGGTTCACAGATGGCAGCAGCTACCTCTATGAAGGTAAGAGGGTAGCGGGTGCAGCTGTGGTCGATCAGGACCGGACTATTTGGGCTAGCAGCTTGCCTGAAGGGACTTCGGCTCAGAAAGCTGAGTTAATTGCCCTAACACAGGCCCTCAGACTCGCAGAGGGCAACCGAGCCAATATTTACACTGATAGCCGTTATGCCTTCGCTACTGCTCATGTGCACGGGGCCATATACCGTCAGAGAGGTCTCCTCACTTCAGCCGGGAAAGAGATTAAAAATAAACAAGAGATTCTTGACCTCCTAGAGGCCGTCCATGCCCCACGGGAGGTGGCTATCATTCACTGTCCCGGTCATCAGAAAGGGACCTCAGAGGTAGCAATGGGAAACAGGAAGGCAGATGCCGAGGCAAGACAGGCCGCTCTCGGGCCCCGGGTATTTACCCTCGCTGCTGCTGCTGGCCCCGCGGTACTACAGTCAGAGGCCCTCTGCTACACCCCAGAAGAAGAAGAAGATCTACTTAAAAAGCCAGAAAAATACCATAAAGACAAACTCGGGGTTTGGAGGACCACGGGGGAAAAAATGGTGGTACCGAGGGAAGCGGCCACCGCCTACCTCCAACAGCTCCATCGTCTCACCCACCTGGGGGCCAAACACCTCAGCTCCACCAGCCGGGCTACTGGACACTATGTCAAGGGACTCGATCGCCTCTCAGAGGAAGTAGTCAAACAATGTAAAGCATGTCAACTGGTAAATATACATCCATCCCAGATCGGGACCGGACAGAGACTCAGGGGGGACCGGCCAGGAAGCTACTGGGAGGTAGATTTTACAGAGGTAAAGCCCGCCCGCTACGGTTACAAGTACCTCTTAGTTTTTATAGATACTTTCTCAGGTTGGGTAGAAGCCTTTCCCACTAAGAGAGAAACTGCCACCGTGGTCGCCAAGAAGATTTTGGAAGACATCTTCCCGCGATTCGGAATTCCAAAGGTAATTGGATCGGACAACGGTCCGGCCTTCGTTGCCCAGGTAAGTCAGGGAATGGCCAAGATACTGGGGGCGGATTGGAAATTGCATTGTGCTTACAGGCCCCAGAGTTCAGGTCAGGTAGAAAGAATGAACAGAACATTAAAAGAGGCTATGACTAAATTATCCTTAGAGACTGGCGTGGCAGACTGGACGGTCCTCCTTCCCTTTGCTCTTTTCCGCGCGCGAAATACCCCAGGACCCCTAGGAATAACCCCATTCGAGATTCTGTTTGGGGCCCCTCCGCCCCTGGCCGCTGACCCATGGTCTGTACCAACCGATACTCACACTCCTCAATCCCTACTTGCCAGGCTGAAGGCCCTCGAGACTGTCCAGAAGGAGGTGTGGACCCCCTTGGCTGCCCTCTACAAACCAGGGGAGCTGCAGGTCCCCCACCAGTTCCAGGTCGGAGACTTCGTCTACGTCAGACGCCACCGAGCTGCTAATCTCGAGCCGAGGTGGAAAGGACCCCATCTGGTGTTGCTAACAACCCCGACGGCAGTCAAAGTAGACGGCGTAGCTGCCTGGATCCATGCCTCCCACGTTAAGCGAGCACCCCCTCCGGATGATGACAGCCATGGATGGACTGCAGAGAAAACAAATAACCCTCTCAAGCTGCGGATTCGTCGCTGTCCTCCTCCTCCTGCCAAGCCTGCCGCTGATAAGTAGCAACCCCCATGCCCCAAAGAGACTAACCTGGAGGGTAATATCCCCCCACACTGGACAAACAGTTTGGTCAACCACCACCAGAGTAGCCCCGCCAGGGACCTGGTGGCCGAGCCTAACACCAGATCTTTGTGCCATGGCTGCAGGATGGGGGTGGGACATACCAAAGCTTAGAGTAGAGGACACCAAGAAAATAATTCAAGGACCAAG